TTATTGGCAGCTTGCATTGCATGCTTCTGCGGAAGCCGAGAATGTTTCTGAGTATTCTAGGGTCTGCTTGAGTATTAATAGTTGTATAGCGCATAGAGCATGCTGTAGAGAGTGGAAATGTGCTACAGGTATTTAAATGCTCTTATTGTGATTATTATTGTTGTTTTTATTATTATTGTAAAAAGCGCCCGTGTTTCGAAGTTTTGAGAAATTTCGATAAAAAAGAAAGAGCACAAATGAGAACCATAACTTTACTGCGCATTATTTTTCAGTTTGAAACCGGGAAGGAAATAACAAAATAGAACAAAGCTTTGTAGTTTCATGACACTTGATGTCTTTATAATGGAAATAATGGCTTTATCTGCAAAATGCCATGCCCAGACACTGACCGTAGGCTTTTGTGGAACTAGTGGAAGGACGCTGAAAATATGCTTCTTCTTGTTTCCGTTTTATTTATTGTTCATAACAATTTATGTGGCTGGATCTTGTCACACTTGTTTATATCATTGATTTTTTAGGTTTTTGGGGCACAGTACTTACATCATAATGTTTCTTTCCTGTGATTGTGAGATAATGTCCATTCTATGGGTAACTGGAAGACGCCACTGATAGGTCCTATTTTTTTCATTTCCCTCTTTTGTTTCTGTGGGTGGGTGGAGGCATCACTGATAGGTCCTACTTCTTTTCTTTCCCTCTTTTGTTTCTGTTTGTGTGGGTGGGTGGAAGGCATTACTGATAGATCCTACCTATTTTCTCTCCCTCTGCTGTTTCTGCCTGTCTTACTTTTTCCCTTGTGGGTGGTTGGTGGGCCGTGGGTGTTCTGGTGTGGTCTGCTCCTTCTTTCCTACCAAATGTCTATCGTCCTTATCTCTCCTCTTTTTTTTGGGTGTTTGTTACTCTCTTGTAACACCTCTAATCTTCGGCACTTATATGACCTTATTGTGTAGCAAGTGCCGTAAAACTCTTACTAAAACAAATTACTTTTTCCCTTGCACTGAAAGACAGTGATTGTGTCGTTATGCTTCTTTTTTACTCAAACAGAGGGAAAGAAAAAAAAAAGTAAATAGAACTTACTAGTGGCACTTTCTAACCACCCGTGCTGTTTCCTCTGTTCTTTTAGAGGTAATAATTAATAGATAGAGGTGATTGACAGGTGCTCTTGTGTGGTTTGCTCCTTCTTTCTTATCAAACATCTGTCGTCCTTATCTCTGCTCCTTCCTTTCTTTGTATGTTACTCCCTAGTGGCAACTCTAATCTTTTATCTTTTAATCTTCGGCACTTTTATGACCTTTTCCCATTGCAAGTGCTGTAAAACTTTTACTGAAACTAAGCTAAAAACTTCTGTAGTCGAATGTTTTGCCTTAATGTATGTAGGCCTATTACAAATTTGACACATCTGTAAGATTTTGGCGTGACAAGCATATTGTTGAAAGTTCATTTGTTGTGGATATTATGACTTTATTACTATAAATAAAGTTATTGCTCAATAAATATTTATACAGTGTGTTATGTGTGTTGTCTCTTCTGGCATACTGCATGTCATAATATTATTATTATAAATACATTTTATAATGTATTATACTTGTTTCTTAGTGCGTGTAATACATGTATTTTGCATGTTCTGTACTGAAAGGGTTTGGTTTTTCAAATCCTCTGTTTCTCAAGTACTGGGTATAGAACGGACAATGGCGACCGAGGCTCAGCATTCAGATTGAAAATTGAGTCTTTCTATGCGAAGAAAATTTGTGTCCAACTCTCCCACAACGGCTTGGGAGTAGCTAGACTAGTTAACTAAAGCTTAAAGAAGAATAATCCAACAATAAATAGGTCTAAGCATGAATATATTCATGTCCTCTATTTTGTTTCTTCTTGTGTATTGAAAAAACATCCCATTTACTTAATCATGATCTCATAGTCAATACTTGTTTGATACAAACAAGATCACGGGCATCTGTGGTGTAGTGGTTAGGCTCTTTGCTGTCACACGCAGGAGATCTGAGTTTGATTCCCAAGAAGGTAGAAATTTGTATCGCGTATCCGTCTCAGCTTGTGTTGGTCCGTACAGGTGGGATCAGAAGCCCGCCCTCTAAATGATCTAAATTGCGTCGATGAGGGTGTAAAAATTCCTACATTAAAAAATACAAAAACGGCAGAATAAGATCCTTAAGACGGGTACCTAACTGAATAGAGGACACGGGACATAAAAAAACCCACCGAAACTAGAGCTGGATATTGTAAAAGAAACATTTTCATCTCTCTATCTATGACTATTGTCCAACTTCAATTCTGCGTTCTCTGGTTTGAGTCCTGCTGAGGCCTGGGGTGATGTCTTCCAAGCACAGCGCGCTCCGTCAGATTGGTTGGCATCCTGTACGGTTATTGTGTAGATGAACCAGGTTCGAATCTTCAGTGGGGTATTCTCCGTATCAGAGATATGTTGAACTTGGAGATCTTGCCTCTTATACTTATATAACCTTACAGTGTAGAAAATAATGTTAAATCTGTTCCATAACTTTCCCAAACAACCTTCCTTTTTTGTTATATATAGTAAAAATTTAACAGCACTAGCAATGCAAAAAAATAGGTCATACAAATGCCGAAGATCAGAGGTGTTACTAGAGAGTAAGATACAAAGAAAAAAAGGAGGAGAAGGAGAGATTGGGGCGATATATACATGTCTAATAGGAAAGACAGAGCAAACCAGAGCAGAGCACCTGCCAGCCACCCAGAAAAGATCTTCAATAGAGTCCTGGTTGTTGTAAATTGTAAATAACCATCAGGAGTCACCTTTCATGAATGAGAGTCAAAGTCAAAGAATTTCAACACAAAAGTCAGACCTTTATTCCAGAATACAGATGAACCTAAACAAATAACAAACATTCAGAAAAAACAAGATAGTTATTTGATAGTATGTAGTCTGTTCCTCTCAAACAAGATTTAAAAAAAACTGTACGTAAAATAATTCACTACAGAGAAAATGTTGTGAACATAATGATATTAACATTATATCGTCGGCCCAGAGCTAGAAGTGACTAGTCGCGCACGGATAACAAGAACACTGAAATCTCGCAATCACGGATAACTCATACAATCTGCCATTTCCTGACAGTGACAGATATTTCTTCAATAGTTCCCTATCGCCTAACCTGAATTATGGATACGTGTTGAACACATTTGTCCATCCCAGACATGTTTAAGTTATCCGTGCCGGACTATATGTACATTTTGGCGGCAAGAATAGATGACAAAAACTAAAGGAAATTTGTTTCAGCAGAGCTTTCACGGCGCTTGCAACTGCATAAGGTCATATAAGCGCTAGAAGATTAGAGGTGTTACAAAAGAGTAATAAACATAAAAAAGAAGGAGGGGAGATAAGGACGATAGATGTTTGATAGGAAAGAAGGAGCAAACCACACCAGAGCACCCGCCAACCACTCACCAACTAAAGGGAAGAAAATTGAATGCCAAAAAAATGAACCATTATTATTAGAACCTACTTTCCATTTCCTCTTGGTGCATCCTCAGACTCTCACAGTTAACGTGTGTCAGACATGAATACACAGCTGCCAACTTTTCAAAACCAAAAAACTATACCCATGCGGCAGGTCAAGATGGTGGGCACTGGCCAAGCAACTTCCCTCCAAACACACTTTTCTGCATCCTATAAACTAACTCTATCCGTACGTCGTGTTTTACTATCGTATCCATACGACGTGGGGAACTCTGTGCCCCCACTTTTCAAAGAGAAAATTTACTCGTTGTTTCGATCCGTACGCTTTGCATAGCAGTCTCTCAATACGATTTTTTGAAAAATACTGAAAGTTTCAAAGAGATCTTCGCACTAGGAGTATTCTAAAATGTAAAGAATACAACTCCAGGGGTACAAAATGACCCCAGGGGTAAGGATAGGGTTTGGTTAAGCAAAAGACCTCTCCAATTGACTTTGGACTTTGTTCTCCCTATTAGTAACAAATCCGGCCTTGAAAGTTTGTGCATTTTACATCAGCATCAGCAAGTTTGTGAGGAGCACTATTCGAAAAGAGAGAATATCGCATTTTTCAATACGAAAATTGACTTGACAATAAACTCAGACCCTCAAAAATGTATTAAATATGTTGTTTACATACTGGTTGGTAGCTATGTGAAAAAAACCCAACAAAACAAAAAAACAAGAAAAACAACAAACCAAGAAACAAATAAAGACTTGTCAGAAAAGTATATCCAGCAAACATTCCTGACACTGACAATCCATCGTTATGCTACGGTCAAGGTCAGCACACATTCTCATCTTGTGACAAACAGAAGGGGAGACAAAATTGTCTCCTAAATGCAGTTACCACAAAATGCGGGAGGAAAAATTAACTATAACAAAATAACAAAACAGTACCACATCCACTGAGATGCTAAGGGAATGGATTTATATATAAAACACATAAGTCAAGGAAAAAGAGCACAGAGGGTTAAAATAGGAAAGAATCATTCTTAGAAAAGCAAAAAATAAAAAGAAAAGAAAAGAATACAAGTTAGATAATTTAGTTTTAGTAAGAGTTTTACGGCACTCGCAACTGCATAAGGTCATACGAGCGCCAGAAGATTAGTGGTGTTACAAGAGAGTAACAAACATAAAAAAGAAGAAGGGGAGATAAGGAAGACAGATGTTTGAGTTTGATAGGAAAGAAGAAGCAAACCACACCAGAGCTCCCGCCAACCACCCACTTAGATCATTTAGGAGGTGTGCTTCCGACCCTGCCTGTTGGGGCCAACTCGGGCTCGGACTTACTCAGACTGATTCAACATCCTAGAAGAAAGACCGAAACACTCAATAAAAAAACAAAACGGAGACAAACAAACAAAATTGCCCAAATGTATTGTGGGAGATGATTTTGAAAAATTCAACAACTAAAAAAGAGAAGTGAGAGATTTTTCCAGCTGCAAATTCTATTGAGTAGTTACACGAGTAGGCTACAAGTAGGGTTAAAAATGAATCTGACAGAGTTATCTTTTTTTTTTTTTTGACGGTTTCCTTCCCACTTGAAGTTGAAGGTGATTATCCAATAGCATATTGTAGAGAAGGGCAGCAGATACATCGATGGAGATGGAGAGCAGATACTGTAACATACGGAGATGGAGAGTGGATAGATCTACCAATGAAGAGGAAGAGCAGATACATATGGAGAGAGGGAGGAAATGCACTTGACACCAGCAAAATTTTCTTTCTCACCTTCCACTTCACTCTACTCAGGTAGGAAACACGTGACAGCTGGTAGAAAAGTATCACACCCATTTGAAAGTGATGGCACATTGTGACAAAAATGTGGTCCTTTTTTTTTTCTTCCTTTGACTTAAACCAGAAGACACTCACAAAACTGTTCTGCAACTGCACAAAAGGAAAGTGTGAAAAATAAAAGTTGTTCCCATAATATATGAATAAATAGCCACAGGCTCACACATTCACAACTCTGTACTCCAGAAAAAATACTATCAATCCTTTCTACCTATCACAGAGCACCAATAATTATGTATTAAAAAAAAAGACCAACACAAAACCGTTACACATACAACACTTCCACCCTTAGAATTAATTTTCTTCACTGACGAACATTTTTCGAACAAATTAGAGACACACACATTAATCAAAGGGGAAATTTGCGAGGCTGAACATGCTGAGAGATGAAATAGTTATATATACATGTGACACAACGTGATGGAATCAGGGGCTTGTCAATTTTTGGGCACATAGAGTTATTAGTATCATCTTAAAGTTTGTTCATTCATCTTGCTTTTGATCTGTCTTGAATAGAAGTTGAGATATATTTGTGATTGAAGGAGGTGGGGGTCACCTAGTTCAGGAAGTAAATTTAGTGAGAAAATGATTGTCAAATGGTGTTAACTTCTATCAACATTTTTCAGTAAAATCCACACAGAAATCTACATTTTAAATGGATATAAAAGAGATCGCCAAAAGAGTGAAAAAATGTCGGTTTCTTTGATTTCATCATTTTGGCAAGCGCCTGATTTCACCATGATGCAACACATTTGTGAAATTTTTTATCAAATACACAAGAAAATGTTTAGAAATATCTAATTTAAAAGTCTGACAATTGAATTTTCTGAAATCCTTCATCGATAAAAGTAAAGTTTAACCCTCCATGTCTTTGTGCACATCCATAATCACAGCCCGCTGTTCCCTGCTCCTGTATGCTATAGTTGAGACCCCCCCCCACGGTGACCCCGGATGTTGCTCAATATGTCATGCCGCTCAAAATGTGGGGTCCAACTTTACTCTTACCAATTCATCTACATTCTCCGAAAAAAAATCATAAGAAAAAAATATAGTTGCTAGCTGCTCCTTACAGAGTTAGGTTAGCTTCATAAACAAGTTGCAAAACTTTTTATCATTACCAACATAACGAGGGAAACTGAACAGCAGGCAGACGGAAGTTTTACGCTTTGCATCAATTTCCAATATCAAATTCTTGAATATCTTTAAAACAGTAAAGCACAGCACAGACTGACTCACAGTACCAGACTCACTAGACCAAGCTCTCACTCTCTTTCTTCGTCTTACACAGCCTTCACTTCTCTTCCCCCTCTTTCTCGTTTTCACTTTTCTACTCTATCTCTTGTCTTCCACTCTTTCAGCGTGACACACACTTACACATACAGAGACACATTGACACACACACACACACAAACACAGACACACACATACACACAAACAACATACAAAATGTATGTGGAAATAAGCAAAACAGCTTTTTAATACTTTTCCACAAGACAAAAAAAACAGCAACAATCCAACAGCTTGGCGAACACACAAGGGTCTCCAGCTATTAGCACACACCTCAGATGACAGGAAAAGGACATCTTATACCAACATGTTACTAAGCAAACTATGAATAAGGCCTAATGTAAAATTAGTATTCTGTTGAATTGTCTCGGTACATCATTGATTTTTCTTCTTCTCATTGAGCTATTAGCTGGAGACCACTATACTAAAAATATATAACAGCTTTTCAGAAAGTCTTTTTAGCCTTTCACTATTCGTACGAAATATCAGGAAACAGTCATGGATACACATGATATTACACCAAGATGGAACGAAAAACCTTCAATCATCTCATTCTCACCACTCAATTACCCAATCTCCACACTTGCCACCCCTCTCCCAGTTCCCCAACACCTTAAAGAGATTCACACAAACCCATAAACCCATTCATATCACATCATCTCTCTACGACAGCAAAAAACACATCCAGAACTGAGATAAACCCAGAAATTCACAAATTTAAAAAAATGCCCCGAACAACTAAAACAAAAATTTTAGGTGAATCGATCGAACCCTCCCCACAGACTAAAACTTAAAACAAAAATATTTTTTGAGTGAATCAATCGAACCCTCCCAGACGAAAGTAGCTGTCTTCTATCCTCTTGCAGAACTTTCCCAGGTTCTCAAAGTCTCGGAGCACAGCGGTGAAGTGGCCCCCGGGTAGGATGGTGGTCAGCAGAGTGTAGAGATGACCAAAGACCAGCGCATCCAGCTCTGTAGGTCTGGAACAATACGGAGAGCAGTCAGCCACTGTTTCATAAAAGGTTATAGTACACAATGTTATATCACGCGGAATTATACAACACAGCATCAAGTTACATTATATTAGATGTTATATTGCACTGTATTATATATATATAACACACTGTCATATTGCATTATATGTGAGGCAGCGTGGTGGAATCAGGCTCTCGTCAAAATAATCAAGATGAAAAAACCTGCATTTTTCCGCAGGTATGTCAATTTTTATCAAATTTTTGTTTTTTTGCTCAACACCTTTCATGCCCAATAAAGAACTCATTTCTGTGCGAATTTTTCTGGAAAACGATTAAAGGCACAAAAAAAGTAAATTTTCAGTTACCGAGGACTTTTAATCTAAAGAAGTAACTAATCTTTGGCGGCCATTTTCTCACTAATTTTGCCTCTGAAAATAGGTGACCCCCCACCTCCTTCCTTCACAAATATCTCGACTTGTATTCAAGATAAATGGATATTTTTTTTGCATACAAATAAAGACAATTGAACAAGCTTTAAGATGATATCAATAACTCGACATGCCCAAAAATTGACGAGAGCCTGATTCCACCACGCTGCCTCACATATTACACATTATGTTACACAGTATTATATTATATAACACAACGCCGTATTACATTATATTACACAGTATTATATTATATAACACAACGCCGTATTACATTATATTACACTGTGTTATATTATATAACACAACGCCGTATTGCATTATGTTACACAGTATTATATTATATAACACAACGCCGTATTACATTATGTTACACAGTATTATATTATATAACACAACACCGTATTACATTATATTACACAGTATTATATTATATAACACAACGCCGTATTACATTATGTTACACAGTATTATATTATATAACACAACGCCGTATTACATTATATCACACAGTATTATAGCACATCACACTACATAATATTACACAATGTTTTATAACATCACACTATATTACCTGTTATATTTTGTTTTAATTACTCTATATTGCACATCATTACATACTGTTACATTACACATTATATTAAATGATATTACACAACATAATTCTGAATTATATTACACAAAATTATATTGAATTATATTATTATTACACAACATTATATTGAATTATATTATACAACATTATACTACTGGATGTTGTACTACACAATCTTACATAATACATCATACAACAACAGTATAACTAGTCGCTTTTCCAGGGTTTCCAGAAATCTTGACCAACACCAAAAGTGGGCACTGCCCTACCTATATGAGAAGTTTGGTTGCATTGGCGAGTATATTTGTTTGGTTAAAGAGAAAACTGCTCTTATATTTTAAAGAAACTGAACAAGGGGCAAAAACTTTACCTTCGATTTTCTCAAAACAGCATTTTTCGGGATAGCCCCCTTGTGCTAAAAAGCGACCATATAACATTGCATTATATAACACACTGTCATATTACATTATATATATATATAACACAACGTCATATAAAATTATATTACACGGTATTATATAACACAGCATCATACTACATTATATTACACAATGTTTTATAACACTACACTGTATATTACGTGTTATATACTGCATTAATTATCCCACACTGTACAGTGTTACATCATTACATTCTGTTACATTACTCAATATTATAACGAATTATGGGGGCTCTCATGGCCTGGAGGTTAAGGTGTTCGCCTCTCATTCAAAGGTCCAAGGCTCGAATCCGAGTAGAGACGCAAAAGTTTTTTTCTCTAAAATTGTCTCCTTTCATCTCCTTTCCTGCTCTCTAGCAATGTTCTGTCATCTGCTTTCGTCTCCACTTTCTGCCCCCACCCCCCTCACCTTCTTTTGCCCCTTCTATGGGCTTGTGACTCTTTCTGCAGGCTTTCTACTGCTACTCCTTAGCTCCTTCTTACTGCTGTCTTTTAGTCACACTCCTGATTTTCTAGTAGGAAAGATCTACACCTAAGCTTCTTGGACAAGGGCAAAAAACCTTTGAGGTCCTATGTGCAAGTTGCCCATGTTAAAGATCCCTTGTTGATTTAAAATCGATAAGAGTAGGCTTTGGCCATCACCCGGGCAAAATTCAAAATTTCCTAACAACTGAAAGTTTAGTGTGTCCCATGCGCTCATATTACCTTATGCAGTTGCGAGCGTCGTAAAACAGTTACCCCCCTCAAATTTAAAAAAATAATTATGAATTATATTAAATGTTATACTACAGGATGTTTTATTACACAATGTTATATCATATATCGTGTATACTGCCCCTCCCAACTGAACATTTACGGTATAATGGTTATATCTTTTGCCATCGACTCAGACCACGTGAGGATTTCGATTTTTGAGCAGGGAGGTTTAAAAAAAAAAAAAAAGAATACCTCTGCTGGAATGTTATACTCCTCTCCGGTCCGACAAGCCATGTTGCAGCAGGCCATGTCTTAAATTATCGAAAATGAATCGATCGAGATGCAAAATATTTGCAGTTGAAGAAAACTAAGATTTTTTAAAATTCCATGGTGAATACCTGTCTCCAAAGAAGAACTCTTTCTTCTCTAATCTCTCGGACAGAGCCTGGCAGCACACCTTCACCTCAGCACAGACCTAGAGGGACACATGTTTTTTTAGTTTTAGTAAAAGTTTTATTGCACTTGCAACACAATAAGGTCATATAAGTGCCGAAGATTACAGGTGTTACAAGAGAGTAACAAACACAAAAAAAAGGAGGAGAGATAAGGAAGATAGATGTTTGGTAGGAAAGAAGGAGCAAACCACACCAGAGCACCCGCCAACCACCCACGGACACATGTGGTTAAGACAAGGTGAACTAATCTTTTTAAACAACTGCTTATAATACGGGCAAATTTTTTTTTAAAATGACCTGAGAGGAGGGATGTAAAGCTGAATAGGAATAGGATGTCCCCATCGAACAATTACTTCACAGATAGATGATACCAACCTCAGAGCATAAAACCAACAGTTCTTTAAAAGGTAAAACAAAACTCTTCCAGAATTATAGATGCACCCAACAAAAATGGGCTTGATGTGGTCACAGTACACCCCCTGTATAAAACACTAGGTCATATTATAGACGAGTATATATAGTACAGAGTTGAAAAATTCATGGAATGAAAAGAAATCAAAATCAAGTATAGCTGAAAGAAGCTCTGTTGGGATGATTACTAATAAAAATAATTAGGAAGAGACAAATCGACTGCTCAGTGTAAGACTGTCATGAGTCACAAAAAAAGGTGGAGTCTTACACTAAGCTGCTGTAACTATGAGCTGACAAAACGCCTTTTTTTTCAATTTTGGAGCCAATTAAATTTTTTTAGTGCTGAAACGAAAGCTTGATCAGTTACCCTATTTGTAAGGAAAAAAATATCACAGTGAAATTGTGACTAGTTTTTGAATAATATAGAATTAAACTTTTGGAAGAATGCCTTTTTTGAATGGTTACACTGGCGAAAAAAACCTTTTTATCTCAAAACTTTTGTGAATAATAAAAAAAAAAAAGGTGTTTTGTCAGCATGGCAGTCATTAGTTAAAATGTAGTTTCTGGGACATTCGCATCGACATTCCCTCTCACTGGACTAATGGACAGCAAAAGGGGAATAGGTAGACCCAACACGACTTGCTTCGAGAATTTGAACAGAAGGGTGGCGGGAAAAGACCAGGATAATTTAGGTTATTGAAAGACTCGGAGCAGAGAAACGAAGGGGGATCTCGCGGCCTAGAGGTTAAGGTGTTGGCCTCTCATTCAAAGGTCCCGGGTTCGAATCCGGGTAGCGACCAAAAAATTTTCTTCTCTAAAATTGTCTCCTTTCACCTCCTTTCCTGCTGTCTTGCAATGTTCTGTTGTCTGCTTTCATTTCCACTTTCTGCCCCCACTCCCTCACCTCATTTAGCCTCTTCTCTGGGCTCCTGACTCTTTCTGCAGCCTTTCTACTGCTACTCCTTGGCTCCTCCTTACTGCTGTCTTTCTCCCACTCCCCTGATCTTCTGGTAGGAAAGATCTACACCTAGCCTTCTCTGACAAGGGCGAAAAATCTCGGAGGGCGCGTGTGCAAGTTGCGCACATTAAAGATCCCTTGGTGGTCTAAAATCGATAAGAGTAGGCTTCGGCCGCCACCCGGGCAAAATTCAAAATTTCCTACCAACTGAAAATATTAGGTGTGTCCAGCGCGCTCATATGACCTTATGCAGTTGCGAGCGCCGTAAAACACTTTACAAAAACAAAACAAGAGAAACAAAAAGTGAACCACAGTTGCCGATGGCTGCTTCTGACCTGGCACTCGAAGAAATTAAGTCTCACCCTCCCCCAGGAAAATAAGAGAAAAAAAATAGTAGTAATCAAAATTTTTTTTTCCTTATTTAAAAACATTGGAATTTTGTGGAAATACTTGAAAATTTACGAAGTTACACAAGCAAACAAAAGAACAGTAGAAAAAAACAACTATTATAGTGTCTTCACTAACACTAACAAATTGTTAAGATTAATAACTGTTCTTCAAGTAAGCAAAACGGAAATAACAGGGAAAAAAATTACCTCTCCCCACCCGCAAAAACTGAGTCTGAAAAAAAAAGAAAAAAAAAAAAATGTGTACAGCCAACCTCATCCAAGCTTTTATCAGCCCAATCGTTGGACTTAAGACGAGCGCGGATTTCTCTCTGTTTGCTCCAGGGCAAAATCCACCTGAGGGGCCATGGAAAGGAACAGCCGTAGCGGGGTTTGGTCACCTGTTGTAGGAAAATTATCAAAGTCAAAACATAGCTGAGTTTCATCATTTGTCGCAAGAAAAAGCTCAAAATTATATAAAAGTATTGGGAATTTGTTACCCTCAGCAGGGAAATTAACAAATTATAAACATAGCTGAATTTTGTTACCTGTTAGGAGGAAATTATCAAAGTACTAATGTAAACATAGTGCGGTTTAGTCACCTGTTGTAGGGAAATTATCAAAGTCATAACATAGCAGAGTAATGTCTCCGGTTGCAAGGAAATAATCAAAATATAAAAGTATTGGAATTTCTTACCCTTTGCAGGGAAACTATCAAATTATAAACATGGCTGAGTTTTGTTACCTGTTATGAGGAAATTATCAAAGTACTAGTATAAACATTATGCGGTTTGGTCACCTGTAGTAGTGAAATTATCAAACGTGGCTGCTGGGTTTAGTTACCTGGTGCAGGGAAACACGCAGTGGAATAGGCGTGGAATTGCTCTACAATGTGAATTTTAAAATAAAACTAAAACTTTTCAATAACATGGAAATATGTTAATTACAAATTAATGGATATCCCAAAACAAAAGTTCGATGATCCAGAGAAAAATACGACAAAGTAAGAGAATGCCGACTTCTGCAAGCAGCACCCATTTCAGGAAAAACTATCAGAATTCTTGCTTTGAAAAAGAGTTTCAAACAAAGCTGTCTCTGTACCCAATAGGCACTGTCTCTGCAGAAGATTCCAGATGAATTCCAGAGTGGGGAGATTTTTTATCGAGTATCTTTGTTGTCTTTCTGTCGAGACATATTCGTCTCAGCCGAGGTTAATTAGAAGCATTCCTCTTAAATAATTCAAATTGCGTCGATGGGGGCAAAAAAGCACTTACATTAAAAAGGAAAAGCAAAAACAAACAAACTTAGAAAATTGCCATCTTTTTTTTATCCCCCCCCCCCCCAATGAAATTTTTTTTAATCCTCAGAAAAAAATTGGTATAAATTAGCCTTTAGCTTTACTTAATTTGCCTCACCTCAGTAGCAATTTCTGCATTCAGCCAGGCCATATAGAGCTGAGGAAACAGACAGACAAATCCTTTCAGTTGAATCGGACTTGGTTTAAATATTTGAATTAAAGGGGTTACATTTTGCAGGAATGTAGGTAAATTTTTCAGCTGTTTTTTTTGTTTTTACAGAAAAGAAGCACATCGACACAATAAGAAGAGTCATTCAGCATGGAGAAAAGGCATGACAGAAAGACAGGAACACCAGAGAGAATAGCGAGCAGTACGGCTTACCTGAAATATCCTCCTGCTAAAAAGTAAGAAACAACAGAGGAAAAGAAAAGAAGTAAGATCAATCAGTGGCACCCTCCAACCACATACACAGACAGAAGCATCAGAGGGGAAAAGGAAATGAGTAAGTAGGATCTACCAGTGGTGCCCTCCAATCACCCACTCACCTCTGCGTTCCCCAAGATATTCTCCACCATAGACATGTACGCTCTCATCTCAGACCGCTCAGTGTCCGACAACTCTCGGCTCAGACTGAAGCCCTGTAAAAATTTTTAAAAGATACATTTTTATGTAGGTGGTTTTTTTTACACCCCATCACCACAGGTTAGATCATTTAGGAGGCAGACTTCTGACCTTACCTGTCAGAGCCAACCTGGGCTGAGAGGGAAACACTCGATAAAAATTTCACCCAACTCGGGAATTGAACTTGGGTCTCCTCCATGCAAAAGCAAAGCGCCGGACCACTGCATCGAAGACACTGGACTAAAGCCCTATGGAGCTAGAGAGGTATGGTATGATGTGGGTTTCAACACTTCTACAGATATTGCTAACACATTTAAGTACAAGATGAGAAAGATTAATCTTTAGTGTCATGACACTGGTACATTGTTTTTTTAGTTAGATTTAGTAGAGGTTTTACGGCACTCGCAACTGCATAAGGTCATTTGAGCGCCAGAAGATTAGAGGTGTTACAAGAGAGTAACAAACATAAAAAAGAAGAAGGGGAGATAAGGACGATAGATGTTTGATAGTAAAGAAGGAGCAAACCACACGAGAGCACCCGCCAATCACCCACGTACATTGGTTTGGTGTTTCGCCATACACACATACTAGAACACACATACTATCTCACACATCGGCTCTTCCACACCCATTAACACAGACACAAAGCTTATGAAATGTCATCTTTATATCTTAATAGCCAGCCTTTCTCCACAAGATACAAACCACTCACCTTGGTGCCCACAAAAGCAACAATCGGATCCATCTCCGAAACTAGGTACAGGCCAACCTGTATAAATGGCACCTTGCCTGGAGAGAAAAAAAAATGTCAAAAATTTTTTTTTTCACATGTAGGTAATTTCATTTATGTCCACATCAACACAATTTAGATAATTTAAGTGGGAGGTTTCCTATTCTGGACCGGGTAGAGAGGGACACAACATCTAAGCAGAAAGACCAAGATACTCAATAAAAATTCCTCCCCATTCAGGAATTAAACTCGGGTATCCTGTGTGCAACAACGAAATGTTTAATCGCTATACCGCAGATGCCGGTAAATCTGGAAGCAACCGTAAGAGGCAAGACAAGAAGAGGGAACCTAACAAGATGGAAGCTGGATGTAGAAACCTGGCTTGGAGACAAAACAGCCCAGGCAAGCAGACGAGCAAGGAAAACAGCGTTTCATTGCAGAAATCCAACAACTGGAAAAGATAAGAAGAAGAAGAAGAGGAAAGCTATATTCGTGTGATTAGGTAAGAAAAAGTTACAAGACCAGTTTGTAATAGGGCATTAGATCTACATCTAACCAAAACATAAACTTCTAATCAAAAGAAATTAATGAACAGTAAACAGAAACCTTGATCACGAGAAAGAAAAAAGTAATAATCATTAGTGTAAGTGTTTTACGGCCCCATTCACATTATTTACTATGAAGTGTGTGTGTGTGTGTATGTGTGTGTGTCTGAGTGTGAGTGTTTGAGTGTGAGTGTTTGAGTGTGAGTGTGTGTGTGTGCGTGTGTGCGCGCTCGTGCGTGTTTTGAGTGCAACCAAATTTGTCCTCCTGTGGGTGCACATTTGTGAGCTTGTGTTCCTTGGGTAAGAATGTCTGTTTACCATTGTCTGTCAGTAAGTGCACATGGGGATGAGAATGTCTGTGTGTAAGAATATTTGGGAGTCCATGTGCCTGTGTGTGTGTGTGTATTTGCGAGTTAAAGAGCCTCTGCGTGTGTGTGTGTGTGTGTGTGTGTGTGTGAGTGCATGCGCGAACTTGTGAGTTTGTATGCCTGTGGGTGAGAATGTGTTGGGTGAGGCTCTGTGCGTGCACAAAACCACAATCACAAGGTCTGATAATGTCTTACCAGAGGGTGACATCTCCTCCGCATTTGTCCGCTGTTCAACCCGAAAACGCAGTCCGTTCATGTGCAGGAAAGTGCGAACGGCCAGACACTGTGCATAGTCTGGCAGTGTGATTTGTTCCACTGTGGACCAGAGTGATCATTAGTTTTTAAAGTAGTCTGTCTTACATACAGTCAAAATGATCTAAGTTGGCCATTCGCTGTTGAGGTGCAAAACTATAAATTTGACTTTCAAGACTCTCATCAGAGTTAAAACTCATTAACATGCAATAGCTATTCTCGTGAAAGGAAACTGGTGGACCCTGACAAATTTTAAAAGGAGAAGCGTCTCTCAATATATTTCAGACATCTCGAAAAAAAAAAAAAATGATCATGGTTTGACAAGAACCACAATTTAACATGCTGTTGAAACTATCCAGAGGATATATAATATGAAAAGTGAAATGTACCCGATGACAGATTTATAAAAACTGTAATAATGACTGGTGATCAAATAAACTGTAACTTATCAGTGATAAATAATACGGAAACTATAACATACTCATCTACATATGAAGAGTGTAACATACTAGTGATTAACAATACTATGAAAACTGTAACATAATGGTGATTAATTTTATTGATGCATGAAAACTGTAACATACCTTGATATTGCTGAAACAGGCATACATCATCTGGCCATGGCTCTGAAGCTGACAGATGAAAAAAAAAAAGGAGAAAAACCTCATAAAATGTACATTTTCAGCAAGTAGAATTCAAAATCTCCTACAGTGGAATCCTGTTATAACGAGAGGGAGGGGACCGGAGCAAACAGTCTGTTATAGCAGGACTCTCGCTATCAGGGATCCAGTAATAAATTCAAGGGAAACTGTAAAGTAGGCCTAGTCTATGAGTTTGGTGTTCTGTTTATTTCCTTTTGCTATCTCCCCTGATGATGATTTTGTTTCAACATGACCTCTGGGTCTTACTTGATCAGAAATCGAATCAGGTTTCTTTCTCTAACACTAGATCTAGCAATGTTGACGGACAGTTGACAGCTCGGCGTTGGCGATCAGAAAGAAAGGGCTCTGGGCTAACTCACCCACTGTGTTTTCCCCCTACCCCACCACACCCTGTGGTGCATTCCGTCAGCTTGCGCACGTCACAGATTCACTCCATCCATCACATTGCTGTGACCTCTCCATCCCCGCATCGGAGAAGTGAAAGGCATGGTGGGCCTTGATAATCTAAACTAGGTTTACGCTGGCCTATCGTGCGATGCGTTCTGTTTGTCCGTGCATGCCACACCCTCCCTACTCAGTCGCTCTGGCCTTCATTACTTCATTGTTGACACACAATGGGCTCCCCCGTTCTTTGTTTCGCTAGATCACCAACTAGTTTCTCAACTAGCGAGGTTTTACATTATGTATAATTGGCCCATGCACTGCGCACAGTAGCATCAATATTCCGCTATAACCGACTCGTGTGTATGTCTGATTGCGCTATAGCAGTATTTTATTTACAAAGGAAAAGAAGAGAAAAAAACAGAGTTTTAGAATAGTGTCTTTACAACAGACTTCTCGTATTTTCCGGATTCGTTATAAGTGGACTCCACTGTATTATACTTTGATGGTATCTTTACAGAATGAATGATGATATAAATGTGAAGACTATGATTTTAAAGTTTCACAATTGGACTGGGGGGGGGGGGGTTGCAAAGTTCAAATAGAAAAAGACAAAATTTATTCTGAGTTCAGAAAATTTGATTCCAGCAGTGATGAGTGAATTTGTCCACAACTCACTAAAACACAAAGAAATATTGGCATGTCAATTGCTCTCCTGCACATGCAGCATGAAAGGGAAGCTAAGTAAAGTAGAAAGAAGACTCTCTCAACAAATCTAGTCTAGAGCTAAAGGCTAAACTAAAGGTCTGACTAGATGAAAAAAAAAAAGGCTAGGCTAGGCTAACGCTTATGAGCAAGAGTGGCTATTCTCCGGCTTTGTGCCGGTCAATAGATCGATGGCTATTCTTCGGCGTCACGTTTGGGTACACATGTCGCTTTCAATCCCCCCTGTCAGCACATTATGGCCTTACACAAACACTCATCAGGGTCGGCATTTCTTCAGATTGCGATTCACCATAGGTGGACATGCAGCCACTATTCAATGAAAGCTCCAGTGACGGAAGAAGGGGGAATTGCTGTGTGAGAGGTTACAGCACCAGAAGCGCATACAACCCTCAGTCACAACCAGAAGTACAACAAGAAGGTGCATCTGGCACTGAACTCAGTTGCAACAGTAATGACAACAACGTGCTGATAGGGGACATGGAAAGTGTGGTGAAGCGACATGTGCAACTAAACGTGATGCCGGAGAATAGCCGCTTGTTATAAATTTATTTAAAAATTCATTTTAATTAGAAGCTTGAGAATAGAGATCTGTCTCTGACATCTAGATTTTTTATTACTTATTTTTATTAATCTCAGTCTTAGTTAGTACTCTTAGCTCTGTGATTATTGTGTTCATATAATGTACTGAACAACAATCACCACTTACAATAACACTCCAGATCTATTTCTATCACAAGTAAAAGTCAAGAACGTTGAACAAGTGGATGGCTAAAGAACGACAACCGAACGCCATTGGCCAATATTTATAGTAACAGCCATCTTGTTTGACGTCATTGAGGGATTCCCACTTTGTTCAGTCATAGTCATGGCAGAGAGTAAGTACTGGTCATGGTGGCAACATGACCGCACGACGGCAGCCTGCTGACTCGGATTATATAATTTTCTTTGCAACTTGCAAAACTGTTTGGTTCGGTTGTCTGTGATTGTGCAGCACCCTTCTGGCACACAGATTGATTCTGATGCTGTACACTACGTAAACTGAGAAGAAGAAGAAGATATAACAGTAAGCCTACGTCAATTTAGATACGCAAGCAAAAAAGTTCAACGACACTATGCAAATGACCGACAGTTTCGATCCGGACCATTTTTTTCAAAGTTTTGTAAGCACGAGAAATTAAGCACTTATAAGAGATTGGACTCAATAGGACGTTGAGCTGCAAATGGGGTAGAACTAGATCTATAAGGGGAAGGAGCTTGGAAACTGCAAGTGCAAACCACGCGCCTACTCAAAATCATCACTATTCTTCGAATCACGATACGATGACGCGGCGGGCATCCCCCTTGTGATGGCTGTTACTAAGGAAGGACTTCCGTAAAGAGCGACCACCCCAACAAACACAATATACAAGACCTACGCTAACCCTAACCAAACCCCACCCACATGCGGCTAAACGTAGAATAACGCACCTGCCTGCTTGGCTGCTTATTTTAGTAATGTGACGTCATCACATCCTTGGATACCCACAGACTAATTCTAGAAGACCGCGGAGATACCAAAGATTCTCTACTACACTACACGATCTTTGGAGATACTGCATGGAACGACATGCTGGGTCAGTGGCTTGACTTATTCCGTATCGATGTGTTTCGCACTGTAAATTTTCACACTTGTGGCTACTTTCAGCAAGTCAGCCATGCTCTGGCGATGGAAGATAGAGCTTAGATTGTTGATGCTCAGAACAATAAAAGAATGCTGGTGCTTGAAATTGAAACATGGTTAACGCAAAAAAGAAAGTGCGCTAAAATTACCGTAAAGACGCCCGGAGTTTACCCCCCCTCCCCCCGGCCCAATAAACGATGCGCAGAACAGATCAGCAGCATCATCGGAGCACTGCATTCATATCACATTACCCGGTATGTATCCTGGAAAAACATCGCTCATCGCACCAAAGGTCGTGCCATGGTAGGTATACACGATCTTTGGTGCCATGCGGTTGGCTATGTTTAGATCATGTAGTCACGTGATCAGAGGTGAAGAAAGACTTCTCAGTGTAGTTCATAATTATAAACGGTAGATGATGATTTCATCTGTGATCACGGATTAACAGGGACAATGAATGATACAGGTACAACATAACATGAAATAATATGGGGTACACCACATAACGTACAGAGAACATGAACTAATATCATATGACAAATAACCATACAGGAGGGGTATCCGGTCTAACGTCACACAACATGGTCGCCTTACCTAATAATAGTTTGCATCGTTCTACGTTTAGTTGCATGTACCCCACCCCTAGATCTAGCCTACCCTCATATTCATCTCTACCCCAAACCCTACCCTTAGCTTAGCCCAAACCCTCTAAACTGTCTAATTCTACTAGATCTATGTTTCATAGTGAGATAGTGATCGCTCGTCCAAGAATTCCTCCTAATACTATAATTATCGACTAATGGAATTTAGGGAAGGACTTCCGTAACGAGCGACCATCCCACCAAACACAATAAATATATAAAGAAGAGGCCTGACCCGGCCACCCTACTCTAACCTTACTCCTTACCCCTACCCGTTAGTCTTAGATTTACTCCTACCCCTAACCTAAATTCTGCTCTGTCTCATAGTGGTCGCTCATTACGGAAGTCCTCCCGAATTTAGAATCTAGTTGTCGTTCTCTAGATATCTAGATCTAGATCTAGATCTGGCGCTTTTTCCGTAGTTCCCACCACCCTTATTTGATAGACCCTGACCTACATCTAGATCTATATACGTTTGATTCGCGGCAAGCTAAGATGTCAAACCTAACAACTGCAAAACATTAAATTGTTGTAAAATTCAGGGGGGCATGCCCCCCTGAAACCCCCCACCTTGTTTTTAAAAGGTCAGGGGGGCAAGCCCCCCTGAAACCCCCCTACTCTTGGGGCCAAAACCGGCGAATAACAAATGCGGGGTGGGAACTACCGAAAAAGCGCCCTAGATCTAGCTATCCGCTTGTGTGAGTTGATGGTTCTCTGTTCTCATTTATCATTCAGTCAGAGGCAGCCGCAGAGGCAGAGGTCCAGCCAGAGAGACCAAGGAGATCAGCCTCAAACCCAGAGAAAGCAGTAAAGTGGGGATCACGTGAAACTTCTCTTACTGCAGCTATAAGTAAAATGGGTTACTGCAAAGTGAAAGCGTGCAGATATAAAAGGGATGTGTTACCTCCTAGTGTGGCTTGGACTGAATCAACAACTAACGACATGACTTTTCCTTGACACCGGTAGAGTTGTCCTTCTAAAGTGAAAGCATGAAGAGTAAATGGTACCGAAATTATTTTTTTTGGAATAAAGAGTTATAGTGGTTTTTCCTCATTCTTTGAGCAAAAGAGTGTTTTCCCCTCATCCCCCCTCACCCTTTTTAAGATGCCAATTATAACTTTATAATAAATATAATAAAATAACGTTTTCAAAACATTCCAGGAACCATTTTTATATTCAGTTGTTATCACGTAAAGAAATCCGTTAGGTCTCAACTACTACCGGGCAATTTTGTGTTGATGCTGATTCTCTGTATGTCGTGGTAGAGTTGTTATTATTCTATGTCCACCCAAAATTTCCTTCCAGAATCAATAAAGTAATGAATAAAGTTGATCTTAAACTTAAACTTAAACGTCGTTTATCCATAAGAAAATCTTTTTGTTAAATGGCTAATTGGTCTTTTGAAAGGATTTATTAATACGACCGAAAAAATTTCATCAGTAGTATTGCTGATAGTGTGATACAATGTACATTGTAGTTTCAAAGAGTTATCTCCTTTTTAAACCTATAGTCTATATAGAGTACATCTATGGATAGTTTAATACTGAGGCCTAGATATTATACTATAGGCCTAGGGTAGCACAAGAGGCACTCCAACAAAAAAAGGCGTTATTTTGTGTGGACTTTATTTCAATTCAGTAAGAGCGCTTCGTTTTAGAGTGATTTCCTAGATCTAGACCTTTTTAGTCTTTTGAAGGCTGGGATGGCTAAGGAATCAAATCTAAGACAAAGGAAAGATAATATGTTGACATATTTTAATAATTTTTGGTAAGCCTCCGAGCAATATAATACATTAGGCTAGTACATGATAAGTTAGTAAAATGTTTTGTTTTCTGTGTCCAGGTAGTTTTCTGCAGCGGAAGTTGGTCTTTTCTACCCTGGGGTCAAAAGGCAGAACACGTTTGTTTGTGTTACTGTGTGACGTCACTTTTGGAGAGGAAATCGCCAGTCATAACCATCGGACCTCTGTGAAATTGTCCGTGCTGCTAAAATTAACTTCCTTATTGCGCAAGTTTGTTGTCGGGAGAGGTATAAGTCTGACAGATCACCTGAACTTTTTTAGCCTAAAGTTCCGTTAACGACTGAACGCAATAATGTCTTCTTATCCAAAAGGTAGGTTTTCAAGTTTGTCAGCAGTCTACTGTGTAGACACTGTAGTGTGTAGTCAGTACAGAGTGCAGAGTACAGAGTAATGCAGTCTGTATTGTCTGTATACATTATACAGAGTAAAATACAGTCGAACCTGTGTTAAAGTATGGATTCGCAGCAAGTTAGCCAGAAAGTGGCTATTCTCATCCGGAGTGAGAATAGAAATACGATCGACCTCTCACCCCGGGTGAGACTTGCGACCGTAGGCTATTCTCACCCTGTTTGAAACAAGACCTGTTTTTCCTAATTTCGGAATACTTTCTATCGATGTGGATGATCAAATGGATAAAGGCAAAGAAAAGATTACGTTATAGCACAAAAGTAAGCTAATTTTATCGACTACAAAGATGCTATGGCTATTTCTCTTTTCGAATCGAGCCGAACAACGGGGGTCACCATTTTGTTTTGCCCGGAAGTTCTCGCAAGATCTACTCCTCCCCTCTTCTCTCTCTCTGTCTCTTTCTGAATACACTGTCTATCGGTGTGGATGATCAAATTGACCAAAACAAAGTTAAAAAATGATGTTAAAACACAAAAGTAAATTAATTTGGTTGTCTACAAAGATGCTACGGCTATTTAACTTTTCGAATCGAGCCGAACTACGCGGGTCGCCATTTTGTTTTGACCGGAAGTTCTCGCGCTACTCCTCTCTCTCTCTCTTTCTCTCTCTCTCTCTCTCTCTCTCCACTGCCCACAGACAAAATTGTACGCTTTTAATAGGCTACAGTTGTAATGGAACGTTTGCTCACGGCACAGAATTCTACAATTTTTCTGTTATCACAGTGTAGAATTCTGTGGTTTAGGGTGAATGCAAAATTTGTTGGCCTAGATCTAGGCTATAACGGTGAACGCGCACCGGGTGAGAATAGCCAAAAGACTCGCCTGCACTATTCTCACCCCGGGTGAGAATAGAGGTTGGCCTCCCGATCTAGATCTAGATCTAGTAGTCAATACTTCAAACGGAAGGACTTCCGTAACGAGCAACCACCCCATGAAACACAATAAAGAAGAGGCCTAGACCTAACCCTAACCCTACCCCTAACCCTACCGGTCCTACCCCTACCCTTACCCCTACCCCTACCCTTACCACTACCCCTACCCTTACCCTAAGCCCTCAATTCTGCTCTGTCTCATAGTGGTCGCTCGTTACGGAAGTCCTCCCCTTCAAACCTCTCAAACTCAAGCTACCGTACATCCTCTAGTCTCAGATAATGAATGACATGCATTTGTCTGACATCCAATTATCACCAGTGATTGCGTTTCGTAGGAACACTGACTGTCTTACTGATTAAAAACAGAAACGTTTGAACGTCCCCTTTGCTTCCCACCCTTTTGGCCCCACCCATCGATGTATAAGCACAGTCAACCAACAATTATGCCACCCCTCCCATGAAGAATGCTACGATTCGAGGTACTCTTTTTTGGTGCTTTTTCGGTACTTCCCACCCCCTTTATATTTGAGCCTAGATCTACGTTTAGATCTAGGTCTATACGTTTGATACGCGGCAAGCTAAGATATCAAACCTAACAACTGCAAGACATCAAATTATGGTGAAATCACCATGGCGGGCCCGCTTTTCCGCTTATCGCACGATCGTCTACGTCACTTAGTTTCATTGCTGACTACTTGGTCCGTGTTTGTGTTCGGTGTGGTTGGTGTGTGTACAACTTTGAGGAGAACTCTAAGGTAAATTTATAGAACAAGAATTCCTGAGATTGTTCAGGCTAGGCTATAATAAAAGTTAACATAAATTACAAAGAAAACAAACACGGTGAGATCTTGTCAACAATTATTTGCGGGGGAAACCCCGAAAGACGACAAAAATAGATGGCGGAAATACGTCATCTATGTTTGGGCCAATCACAGAGGTGTGCTAGAGGTGCTCGCAGCAGCTTCCAAGTCTTTTATTTTGAGGGAAGGACTTCCATAACGAGCGACCACCCCAACAAACACAATAAAGAAGAGACCTAAACGTGGCCCAACCCATAACCTTACTAAGTTTTAATTGCCTTACCCCTACCCCTACCCATACTGCTAGATAGTCCTACCCCCTACCCCAAACCCTGACCCTAACCCTCTGCTTCTGCCTGTACTCTAGAAAATCTAATCTTTTTCGTAGTGGTCGCTCGTTATGGAATTTTTCCCACGCTTTAAACTAAACTGTCATTATTTTTTTGGAATCGGAACCCAAGCTGAGGCCTATACGAGACAGAGGAGTGAATGCAAAATACGACGTAACACCGCAGATAGATCAGACAGAAATTAGTTAACGCCAGTTAATGAAGTTGATGCTAGTCGTTGACTTTCTCTGAAGTGATAATAGATCATTTTTACAAACTCATATTGATTATGAGGCAGAGTTAGGCAGCTCACATCATCTTAAGAACTCTTGAAATTGTTACTTTGACTGTTTTACAAAGTATTCTTGTTGACCTTCCCTTTGTTTTGTTTTAATCTCCCCTTTCATTACTTTTTTTTTCATTGTTGAATTGTTCTTAGTCTTAGAGTATGAGGCTTTTATGAGATCTCAAAACTCTTGAGTTTTCATTTTTTAACTAAAGGCTCAACAAAATATTACAGTGACACGATTTTATTGTTGATCTCTTCAAAGAGAAATTTGCAGGGGCATCGTAAGTATTTACATCATGCACATGATGCACTCGTCAACACGCACTCACTCACACACATAACGTAAACGCCCACAGGAATAGTCACTGGATATATACTCAGTGGATGTATTTACAGTCAAACCTGTGTAAGACGGCCACCCATTGTCAAGGAGAAAAGTGGCCGTATAAGACAGCTGGCCATCTGAGGCAGAACTGATCAAGATGAAGAAAACAAATCATTCCCATCTGAGGTCCCAATCGAAAGTAGCCGCATCGTTGTTGTTTTGTTGTTATTGTTGGTTTGTATTTCGTTTGCAATTTGTATTTTGTTACTGATTTTGCACAAGGGTGACAATAAAACGAAATGTATCAGACAAGGAAGACTGAATGCCATGTTAAAACAAACTCATGGGTTGCAACAACTCGGAGAACGAGCGACGCTTCTGTCACAAGTCCATGCTGACGTCCTTTGTTACTTTGTTACAGACTGGGTAAACAGTGACCACTCATCTCATTTACGATTTGTGTTTGAGTTCTGGGCGGGGCTTATGGGTTATGAGGGATCACACGCTTACCTCACCAGCAGCCGAAAATTGGTAGCTATTGGTCAACAGTGGGAGGGGCCTACGCAACATGATCGGTTGCAGGGACTTCCTAACAACAACAACAGGTGATTGAATTATGGCGGTTCGCCCACAACGCCAGGGGCCAATGCACAATTTATGACAAAACGTAATGGAGTCACTAAGGTGGCCTTCTAAGACAGGTGTTATTGCTTAGTGTGATAGGGGTTGTGTGTTAAATTATGGTGGCCGCGGCCGCGTTGGACAGGTGCCCGTTTTACACAGTTAAATTATATAGAAAAAACGAAAGGGTGGGAATGGAAAGTGGCCGTTTGTAGAGGTGGCCGTCAGTGCAGGTTTAACTGTACTTGTAATAATTTTAATGAAAACTGAGGATGTTTGTACAGCTCCAACTTCTAGTCTGTCTTCTTGTATTACTTTTCATTTGTTACTCTCTCCTTTCTTCTTGTACCTTTTTGTAGATATGGGGCCCAACTTTACATATCAGTTACTCGTAAAATGATTCAACATCTGAAAAGGGATGCCAAGCAAATCTGCTGCTCTTTTATTCATTGGTGGAGAATTGAAGAACAGGGTTTCTTTTACTTTATCTGTTTTTGTGGGTGTCCTGAATCACAGAGCAGACAAGTAAAAACATGTGACAGATTGTAACTGAATTAATAATAATAATAAAATTAGCATTTGTATAGCGCATATCCCCACTCGATAGCAAGGTCTATGCGCTTTGCACTATATCGTTACCCAAGCAGACCATAGAACACTCAAAAACATTCTTAGCTTTTCGGGAAGCATACAGTGCAAGCAGCTGATTAAGCGCTCAAACACTAACAAACTGTCACAATTCACTCCCACCTGGGTGAAGGGAGAAAAAATCATGTAAAATGCCTTTCCCAAGGACATAATTCTTATATAGTAATATATATTACATGATATATTTGCCAGATCCAGCCTATGGAAAAGCTCCGAATGACCCAGCCTACCCACCTGGGCATTATGGGGCTCCCCCTGGATACCCCTCAGCCCCACCTCCATACTCGCACACTCTGGTAGGCCAGAACCCCGTACCCATGTACGCTCAGCAGCAGCAGTACACTTACGCCGCAGGTAAGTGGTATTTACAGATGTGAAAATGAAAATGTTAGAAACAATCACTGTAAGCTTTCTCTCCACAGTCACTCCCGCGCTCAGATGCACTGCTTTTTAGACCACTTTTTTTTTGGCCGCAGAACACGTATGTGCCCATTATTACCTTTGTGTATCTATTGTTTTCAAGAAGTGTTCAAACCTAACAGCAGAACTTCAAATTATGGGAGGAGGGGGCATACCTCTCTGAAACTAGTGCTGGACGTTACTGGTTAAATTTAGTTTCAGTATTTACAGTGGGCGTCAAATATTGTGAATACTGGTACTGGGATGGAGATTTTAAAAAAACAACTAAAAGTACTTTCAGTATGTTGACTCCCACTTTAGACATTTACAGTGTTAACAAAAGTATGCATACAGAAAAACAAAACATAGGAAACTCATTGATGTTTAAAATGTGAACTGTTGGGTCCTATACTGTTTGACACATCATTTTTTAAATTTCCTGCGACATGTTTAACATTTTTGGGAAATATGGGTCATGTGTGTGTGTGTGTACCTATTGAATTAGAGGCTAACACTGTAAGCTCTAGACCATGGGAGCCCCCGCCTCCTATAGTAACACGTAATAGTGGGAAGCAAGACTGACTAAACATCAAATTAACTCGGACAAAAACTTACAAGAGAAAAATAGTAACATAGGCCATAGAACAGAGTTGCTCTTGTCTTACTCTTTTTACAGTTGTGAGAAATTAAATGCACCCGTGAAGTAAAAACAAATTCATCGGAAGAGAACACATAAAAAAAAAAATTACTTATTACTCCAAAATGTACATAAACAATTAATACATGTAGGTTTGGAACGTTCTTCTTCTTTCACTTTGACCTGCTGTTTCTATTTTCATCTATCAAATATTTTTTAATGTTTTGATTTGAAACAGCATTGCGCCTATTTTGTCAAGAGGCAGTTTTCCTTTGTAACAACCAGAGCACTCTAAGAGAGGAAAAGGTGGAGGTGGTGAGGAAAAGACAAGCAGCCTTGCGACCTATTCTCGTTTGATTCTTTGTTCACGAGGAACGCCGTTTCAAAACAGATTTGCTATTGGGAATGTAATTAATAGCTTGAGTCGGGTGAGACTTGTGGGAAAAATTTTGGGCCTTTTACTTTTCCTTATCCTACCCCGGGATGGAAGGAAAATCACAGAACCACCAGTTTTAGATGCTATTCACAACAACTTTTCCTCTGAAAAAAATTAATATAGGCCTGAAATTAGCACTATGGTTGGGTATATAATTATGCTTATAACACAGACACACCATCTCACATACGCAGAATAGAAGAATGTGCTTCCTGGTCTTGCAAAGTTGTTAGTCAAGAAGGCAATACATACACCGGCAGGCATGACCACACTTTAAAAAGGGGTGCAAAAATGAGGACAAATAATAATGCAGGTTTGATATTGACAGGTTGTGGGCACTCCCTTTCCTGGTGGGGCAACAAGACCTGAACAATGTCTAGATTTTTGTTCTGTAACGAAATAAACAGCTCATGCGGTCATGAGACGCGCTTGTTGAAAAGATGGAAATAATCAAAAGCTATACTGTCCGTGCCAGCTTTAAGCACGCCGGTATAAAGCCCGTTTTGGACTCAAGCACGCTAAATGGCTCTTACCGAATTTTTGCTATGTAAATTACACGCTTTTAAGCACGGTAACTTCGGCTTCAGGCACGCTTCATTTACAAGACAGTCAATATTTTCATGATGACCCATCGAAGTTCGAACAAGTCTACACCGCAGCAGTGGAGTGTGTTAAGAGAAACGCAAAGAATGCAAGTGAAAGAGACACACACTCACACAGGCGGAGAGGAAGGCAGAGAGAGATGCACACAGCTGCGCGCGTTGACATAGGATCTAGCCTAGGGCAAAGCTACACACGACCAAAAAAAAAATACAAAGAGATTCGGGGAGACGAGAAAGGGAGGCTGGCTGCGATTTCACCTTTGACCCTCGCTGTTCATTAATCCTGATTGTGTATCACGCGCAAGGTGGGATGAAGGCGGTGGTATGAATGTGGCACAGCGGGCAGTGGTACGCACAGGCAGCGTGTAGTGTGTAGGCCTAGTGTGCTATATCGTGACTGGCCGTCTAAATTAAGTTTTCATTTCCGATTCGACCACAAAACAAAAACCAACAAACCAACAAAAACTACCATGGCGGGTAAAAGTAGCAGCGCACACTTTTGCGGGACCGCTATAGGCCTACTTACAAACAATGGGAAATAGCACGAGAAATGTTCTACATGAAAATCTCTGGATTATGTCTACTTTGCACTCAAGCACGCTTCGGCATTAGGCATGCTTAAGCTTTCTCCCGATGACCGTGTTTAAAGCCGGCATGGACTGTATAGAATTGTATGTATGTATGTATGTATGAATTTAGGTAGGTAGGTAGGTAGGTAGGTATGTAGGTAGGTAGGTAGGTAGGTATGTATGTATGTATGTATGTCATATGTGTGTGTTTGTGTGTGTGTCTGTCTGTCTGTACGTATGTACATATGTATGTGTGTGTGTGTGTCTGTGTGTGTATGTGTGTGTGTATTTCATTTACACTGTATATTGTGTTATGTGTCTTATTTCAAAGTTACTGTACCTGTTATTCTTGAACACAGTAGATGAGAACAAGGTGTCTGGAAAGGACAATGAAGATTGTTGTTTTTACTATCAAATGGAATTTTCGTTATTACTATACCCTTTTGAAGAGTGCACAGGAAGAAGAGGGAATGTCAACTTTTCACATTTTTGTGATAAACTAATGAGTGGATATCTTATAATGATGGACGTGTTCACACATACATCTGACAGAAAAGGGGAGAGAGTCTCCAGGTATACCATGTTTAAAAATACAGTGTTCTATGCAAGAAATGAGAAAGTTAAAACTGTAAAATCGTTTTTTTTTCTCAAAAGTGAAAAAAATTGCTTAACCCCTTTTTCCTTTGCCCATTTAGTTTTTGGTTGTACGAGACAGAAAAGTTTGTAGGGCATTGATGGTGTTGTCTGTTGCATTTTGTTTCTTTGGTAACCCCTTTCCTCTCAATAAGGTCAAATGAGAGATATTACATGTAGTAGTGCAGCTATAAGATCACCAGGTGGCCACGGGGACTCCTGTGTGCCTCTTGCAACTGGAATGACCGTTAGTTAAGATTTATATCCCTTGCGACACAGTGAGGTTATTTGAGAGACGCCATCTCAAATTTCAGCATCAGTGTGCCATAGAACATTGATTTCATGTGAGCCAGGCATTAAAGCCCATTGAACCTCCGAAAAAAATTGTTTGATTTTTTTTGGTTTCATATCGTCTCCTGTGAGATTTGAGCCATGGAGGACCTTCTTTCTTGCAGGCGAGTGACTTAGCCATGAAATTAGACTAGATTATGGAGATTTAGAACTGAAAAAGGAGATACGACATTTGTACTTTGAGGCATTCAGTTCAATTTTTCAGAAAACTGGGTTTTCTTAAAACAAAAACTGTTTCTCAATTCCACAGGAAAACAGCAATCTGTGAAAACTATTAAAGTTAAAACATTGATTATACACACCAACAATGGGTAACAGTCAGATCAATGAGTTGGTCATTGATTTGAATCTGGAGCCATCTCAAACTTTGAAGGCTTATTTCTCAAAACCGGAGTGCGTGGACATACGACAGTTGTTCTCTAGGCCGATGAAATGCCTATTTCCACTGCGTCGTGACGCATATTTTTTTACATTATAATGACACTCTTGAGACATCCACCTGTTCAAGAGAACCACTAATCTCTTCGGCAATAGGTGAACATCTTACACTATTTCAACTGTAACTTTGTTCTTGTCTGTTATCGCAGCTCAAGCCCCTGCTGCTGCGTACCCTCCCGGCCAGCCCATGATGCACGGAGGGCCCGGTCCTGCTCCTCCAGCATATGGCTATCAGCCGCAGGTGAGTTGAATCATGCTTTCTCAGTGTACACACTTTCACTTTCCAAGATACACATACAAAGACTACAGGGGGAAAAAACGAAGGTAGTCACAAACTGAAAATCGTGAGGGTACCAATTTTGAACGCTTGTTGACTCATAACTGTATTTCTGTTCAACTGTTGGTTGATTATTGTTGTTAGATTTACCATTCAAAAGCACTTCTTAACAATAAATCACCAGTCAAAAAAATTTGGAAGTTATGAGTCCACAAGCTTTTAAAATTGGCACCCTCACAATTTCCAGTTTTTGACTACCGTCATTTTTCCCCTGTGCTCTTCACATATATTCTTACTCGTACACACTTTTCTGGCTTCTTCTGAATGTGTGTAGATACAGTGGGAGCTGAGATAAATAAACCATGTCTTTTCAGCGGAACAATTTAGGCACTACTTGGATATGGTGGTCCCGACTTTTGCTACTGAAATATCGAAACTGATTTAAATAGTGGGTATCAATGTTTTATGTTTTATCAGCAGCCTAGGTCTAAATCTAGCCTACAAAATGAGCAGTAAAAATTTCACTTGTTTTTCACAAGGCAAGGGGGGGTTTGCCCCCCTGACTTAAAAAAACAAAACATGGGGTGTTCAGGGGGCATGAGAATTTGACCACGATATGATGTTTTGCAATAAAGTTTGAAAGGCTATCTCTCCGGGACGCAAATCTAAAAGTAATTGTTTAGACTTACAACCAGAAGTAATCGTCGTTGGGGTCAAAACTAGATTCTAGATTTTCTCTGGGTTATATTTCCCTGTCACAAAAGTCGGGACCACCATATCCAAGTAGTGCCTCAGTTTAAAACGAATTCTCTTGACAAACTGTTCATCGGTAATTTCTTTCTTTGCGAATTCTTTCGTACTGCTCCAGTAAGCATGTATCACTTACAGATTTTCACACCCTCATGCACATCAAGTGAGCATTTGATTACACTGAGGCTGTTCTACTTAATGCGGATGATACTGGCTGCAGGCGAATTCTTGATCAGTTGCTCCGACATTTGACCTATTTTTGGAGTGGGGGTGAGTTTTAGAACCCTTGTGGATGACCATAAGAGAAATTCCAAGATATTTAAATGCTATTTTTAGAATGTTATAGATACAGGCTTGCCACCTGTCTTGAAATTCCCAGGACTGTGCAAGATTTGGCGATCAGGAATTTGAACATGTAATATATACTACACCAGAAACAGCCCCACTTGATGCAATTTTGTTTGTTGTTGTGTGATCTGATGTCTTACTGTTGGATGTCCCTGATTGGGGTTTCAAAATGTTGGCAAGCATGTTAATATAAAGTTTCCTGTACTCTTTACAACCTGACTGAGCCTGTACCTTTCCTGGTCTCTTGTCTCAGGTTGCCAATCCTGGCTACCCAGTCCAGCCCGGCTTCAGCGCCTACCCAGGTTATCAGGTGGCAGCCATGGCACAGTTTGATTCCGGGGCTCGCTTTGACGGCATTTCATCGCAGAACATTCCGGTAAGTTGTGATGGAACCCTTTTGACCAAAGACCGCCTGAGCACAGCTCTGCAGTACCTCACTTGTGTTGTCCCAAGCTTCTGTGGTTTGATGAATTCCTTCCCTTTTTTTGCCCCAAGCAGAATCACCGACCAGGATCAGTACTTTTCTCATTTTCCTCAACCAAAGCAGGCAAAGCACAGTATTAATCACATCAAAGATTTAAATAACAAAAACGAAACGAACATTTTTTTTTTATTTAAAAAAAAATTTAAAAAAATATATAATACAGTATATAAATATATGCATTTAAGATGAGTGGTCATTTTACACAGTATCATTATAATGTTATAAAAAAACGAAAACCGCAAATGGGGAATGGGAAGTGGGTGTTTTTTTAGTTTCTACTGGTGATGGCTGTAAGAGCAGATTCAACGGTGTATGTGTGTGTGTATAAATCCATTTCCCACGCCCCCCCCCCCTACCCCTGCATTTTATTTTTACATTTTAATGATACTGTGTAAGATGTTCACCCATCAAAGAAGGCCGCTTTTGGGAGAAGAAAAGTGGTGCGCCGTGATTGGCACAAAAAATGGAAAAAGGCAATTTTGTCTGCTTACGGCAGATCTCTCCACCTTTTTTTTTTTGTTTGTTTCTCTCTCGTAAAACCTCTAATCGTGGGTGGTTGGCGGGTGCTCTGGTGTGGTCTGCTGCTCCTTTCCTATCTAACATCTATCGTCCTTATCTCTCCTTCTTTTTTATGTTTGTTACTCTCTTGGAACACCTTTAATCTTCGGCACTTGTATGACCTTATTGTGTTGCAAGTGCCGTCAAACTCTTTCTAAAAAAACCAAAAAACTCTAATCTTCAGCATTTATATGGTCTGTTTGTGTTGTTAGTTCCATAAAACTCTTACTGGAACTGAACGTTTTCCATTTTCAGCCTCCCCCTCCTGGCTGTGCCCCGAATGCAGCCCAGATGACGGCTTCTCAGGGTGGCCAGGTTTTCGCCACACAGAAGAAGGACAACTGGTTCACGGGGGGAAAAGGAGGCGGGGTCTCCTTCTGGTGAGAACCAGTTTGAAACTTCCTGAACGGCTCTGAACGAGGTCAGATTCACACGAGGCTCGGCAAACGACGCTGGCTGCCTTCTCGTTGTGTCTGACTCGCAGATGTCAATGTGGTTTTTCTTTTTTAATCTGTGATGGACGGTCAAATGTGTATGTTTATGATTAGTATACATTCTAGCACGTGCATATAGAGGGAAATTGGCCGGACTCGAGGAATCATTTTGTCATGTACGAATTTCTCGATGTACGTGTGTTACAAAGTTTATACACGTGTTTAAATTTATAAGAACCAAATTCGGGACCTGAAAATCTGTTCACTATGTGCGTATTTGCTATGTGCGTGCTAGACTATTGTTTTCAGGTATTTAAAAAATTGTTTTTATACATAACTTGCATTATAAAACTAAAGGATAGTAATTTGCGTTGAGCAGGGAGAAAGATTTTTTTTTCTCTTATTTTTGTGTGATTTTGATCAAAAGTGAGCACTTTATAAGGCATTCGGGGAGCATGTCTAGTGGTAGGTCCGATAGTCAGTAGCGTTGTTTGATACGTTTTGGTGGATGCTTGACTGTGGACCTGGTTTTACGATTTGGGCAGCTTTCTCCTTTTGTTTTTCACAATTTTTTTGGAAATTTTGTAGTTCTGTAACTGCTGTGAATGAAGTGGAGAAGAGTTGTGCGTCTTTTTGTATTGATTATCAACGTTGTAAATATTTAGTCTTCTCCACACTGTGGGCTGCTTTGACTGCGAGAGAATGGTGTTGTTTGTTTGTTTATTTGTCTGTCTGTCTGTTTTTCTGTTTGTTTGTTTAAGGCCAGAGTTGGATGTGTGCTTGATGCTCACAGAGATGTTAGGTCTCCTCTGTCCTCCATTTCTTCTTCTTAAGTAATATAAGGCAGATAATTTTTGTAGCGCCTGCTCCCTTTTGCACACAGCTCTAGGTGCCTTTCATAAATGCAAGTACAGAAGACAGTTATTGCGAAAAAAATTAATGTGTGTGGCACTGATGAAATCAAGCATTCATCGAAATGATGAGATCAAAGAAATCACCTAATTTTCCATCTGTTGAGCAGTTTATATTGAATTCCCCCCACACACACCCCATAATATCAGTTCAAAAATACATTTCTGTGTAGCTTTTATTTTTAAAAATGTACATTCACAGTTTCTATGGCATGGACTTTCAAGCTTTGGCAAAGGGAGGGAATAAACAAGGAGTGTTTTGATCATACAACAAATCACCCAGAATTTTTTTTCTTGTATCCACATTTGGGTGATTTACACCAAAAACAGGCAGCGGATGAAACCAGTCTATGATAAACGGATAGAGATGTTGTTGTTTGTGTGAAATGGTCCCATAACACACTAGAGTGTCCAGGAACAAATGCAGGGCGACTTGTGTTGGGACTTAACACGTAACTCTTTCTTTACCAAGCGACGGTTCATCTGTGCCCTTCTTTGCACCTTTTGACTACGTACTGGTATAATTTTTGGTAGGGAAAGCAGATTTGCCCAATACTCCGATAAAATTGGAGTTCTCGGATTTAATGATCATTTTGTACCCCCGGGGTTGTATTCTTCACATTTTAGAATACTTCTAGTAGGAAGATATCTTTGAAACTTTCAGCATTTCGCAAAAAATCGTTTTGACAGACTGCTATGTAAAGTGTACGGATCGGATTAATGAGTAAATTTCCTCTTTGGAAAGTGATGGCACAGAGTTCCCCTCATCCTATGGATGATAATAAAAAACGGTGTATGGACTGGGTTTAAATTGCCTGTGGAAGAACTCTGATTGGATTTGCATAAATTTTAATTTTTCTCTTTATTCCATTTCTGTCAGGTTGAATAAGACTTATTGTAAATGAAGTGAAAATTTTTTAAATTTGAATTTGTTTGTGTGAATTTGCACAAACTCCTTTTTTTGGTGGGGTATTTTGAGGAAAACTCCCTATTTTTGGTCATGAGATGATTGGTTGGCAGGTGTGGAAAAGGGTGAATGATCTGCAGAACTTGCGTGGAAATAAAAAGTTTAAAAAAAAATGCACAGGTCTCACTTTCTCTAAATGATTTGTTAAGTTCCCTTGTGCCTCCTCCCTGCTATTGGGTTTAAGATTTTATACACCCGTTTTTACATGATTTTGTCAACTCTTTAAGATTTAGTGTGATAGTCTCCTTGCGTGTGCAAGAGATGAAAGTATTTTTTGTTGTTCTTTGAATTTAAAAAGGCAATAACTATTTGCCTCATTTGGTTGTTAAAATAATTGGGAATAAACACCAATCTCTGTTTTGCTCAAATGTGTAAATTACACTGCAATACAAACATTATTTGTATTACCCGGGCGTAAGATAATTTTATTGATCCTTGTTGATCAATTTGAATCTCCATGTTGAGAATGATGCGGAGCATTCTGACATATATTTATAGACATAATATTATACATTTAGTCATTACATCTGCACCACATAGTAGGGTACACAACTCAGAACAAAAAAAGACTATACTAACTTGCCTTTGCTGGCTGCCCAGGGCTGTCCTTTAAAAAAAATAAAATATTAGGTGTAACTTGTTTTGTCCCAGGACTGCGTACCCCCCACTGACTGAAGTGTCTTTAGGCCTTTCCTAAAGGGGGGACTTTTCTCGTTCTAATGCACAGTAGAATTGTGAATGGGCTGATTCATCAATGTCATGCTCATAACTGTGTCTAAACTGCAACACGGAACTGCTGCTTTTTCTTTCCTAATCCTTACTATCGTCATTTTTCCTCGACTTCTTTTGTATGTTTGTCACATTCTTGTGACCCGCTTTTTCCGGGGTGCCTTGATAGTCGAAGCAGATTTTGTGCTGTTGAAGCTAGAGAGGTGAGCACAGTAAGTCTGATTCTCTGTAAGGACCCCTCTGTTGACACTCACCCCGTGGCGCTCATATGACCTTATGAAGTTGCGAGCGCTGTAAAACCTCTACTAAAATTAAATCAAAGGACTCCCTCCAGTCATGATCCGCCCAGATGTCGAGTGTGGAACATTGCTTGACATTGCTTGTGAGTATAAGCTCACTGACCACTTGACTAAGGGATGTTGGAACTAATAATGGGACAGTTATGGACCAGGTATGGTGCAGTCTGCTGAAGCCGAACATGGTTAATCCAAAAACAGATGGAAAATGAAAAAAAATAAAAAATCCCCGAATTTTTGTTTCTTCGCTATCTATGTGAGCAATCTCTCTAAACTGAAAACACTGCTAAACAGAAATCTGGTGATTCAGCCAATTTCTGTTCAAGTGGACTCCACTGTATGTTATATTGGATGGAATATTTTAGTTTCTAGGCAGCTTTCTCTTCATGAATGTATATATATATATGTATACTATATACTTTAGTATTTATATACTGTTTACTTTAATAACACCTATATTTTTTTAACCTCATTGTATGAGTAGTTTTTCTTTCCTGTGCCTTTGGCTGACACTGTTTGTGAAATGAACTGGGTTGGGTTTTTTGGTTTTTAAAAAATGTCTTCTTTCTTTTTCTTTTCTTTTTTTAAATTTTTGTCGTGGGAAGGCTGCATTTATGTGTATGAGTGTCGTGTTGTGAGATTGTGATAACTGAGAGCCCCCAAAGTGTGAAACTTGTCGAGATATACAGACGTGTTCTCACATGTATCAGAAATGTTGCTCAACTGGAAGTTACTGGATGGAGGGCTGGAGGTCTTTCAGGGTTTTTGGTTATCTTCTTCTCCTTGTGTCTTTGGGGGGGGGGGGGGGGGGGGGGGGGGAGGGATGGGTTAGGTTTTTTGCACTTTGAAGGTTTTTTTGGTTCCTTCCCGTTGTTGTGTGACAGGTCAGTTTTTGTAATACTTTTGACCACTTTTTGATTTGTTTGACATGTTATATTTGATGTTTATTATTATTTTTTTAGACACATTTTGGAGTTCAGCTAAGTATTTTGTGATAATTATAGTTCACACGCTTGTTCACTTTTCCGTAGACTTTTTTTAAAAGAAAAAGACTGAGTTCACTCCAATGGTTTTTCCCAAATGTTTTTTCCCTCCATATATGAAATTGTTCAAAGTAGCTTTTTTGTTGGATTAGTATTCAATGAAGGATGAGTGTATCTGGCATACCTGTTCACGATGTACGGGAAGATGCAAAACAACTCTCTCTCTTTCACTCTCTCTCTCTTTCTCTCTCCCTCTCTCTCTCTCTCTCTCCCCTCTCCCCCCCCCCTCTCTCTCTCTATCTCTCTCTCTCTCATTTGTGGCGAGCGGATTTTTTTTTGTTTGGGTGGGTTTTTTTTCAAAGTTTTATTGAGACTGGAGTGCGACCCCCTGGGCAGTGCTACTGACTGCAGTATCTTTAGGACATTTCCAAAGGGGGGACTTTAACATGTACTTATGCACAGTAGAATTGTAAATGAGCTGATTTTTCAATGTCATGCTCATACTGTGCTGGTACAACAAGGGGGAACTGCTGCTTTTTCTTTCCTCATCCTTACTATTGTCATTTTCCTCTACTTCTTTTGTACGTTTATCACTCTCTTGTGAATTGCTATATCCGGGGTGCCTTGATAGTCGAAGCTGACTTTGTTCTGTTGAGGCTAGAGAGGTAAGCAGAGTAAGCCTCATTCCCGTTTTGGACTTCTCTGTTGACATCCATCCCTTGGCGCTCGTATGACCTCATACAGTTGCGAGCACTGTAAAATCGTACTAAAACTAACTAAGGAGTGCGGTGTTGTTGGGCCATTCCATTAAAGCTGACACACGTAACACTGACATGACGACCTACTGAAAATTTTTTTTTAGCTGATGATAGGGCCATTTTTACCCCCCTTTTACTTGTGTGTGTTGTGCTAGATGCAACCTTCTTTGAACAACAAAAAAAAACAAAAAAAAAAACGAAGAATGGCTCCGTCATTGCTTTTTTCTTCCAGCAGGTTTTCATCCCTGCATTATGTGTGTTACCTTTCATGGAATGACCCTGTTGTACATATATATAGTGTTCTCAAATCATTTTGGTGAGGGAGACTGAATTTGATATGCAGGTTCATTTAAAAAAGAAACGTGCTGGACTCATTTAATCACACTTTAGTCATTTATATTATATTGTAATGTGACGAGTTTGACTTTTTACTAAGTGTAGCAATTGTGTAAGGCTAACTTTATGCATACATGTACATATAAACTTTGTATTTCTCTTCTTGCATTGTTAATAGCTTAGCATGTGAAAACCTTTTTGCACATATTTGACTCTGGGATAAAGATCGCAAGTGACACATCAGTGGCCCTGGGCAGAAACTGGTGAGGTCGAAAGGGGTAATTTTTTTAAGAGAGAAGATTTTTTTAAAACGGTGTACATGTCGTGTTGCCATCATTGAAGAAAGATGGGATGATGATAATGCATTTCATTTGCATAGCACCCACTCCATACGATACAGCTCTAGGTGATTAACATTGCCTTCACCGTAGCCGGGTTCAAGGCTAGTCTTCTTTAATGAAAATGATATAATTTAAATTATGCAAATTATGCGAGTGTAAGACGTTGACAATCATGTCATTAGTTATTGAACTATTTAATTTAAGTATTTTGTGGGCTTTTTTTCATTGGGGGGGGGGGTGGTATTAGTTTTATTTCTCGAACAGTTTTGATGTACATTGTGGACCTGTTGGACTGGCCTGATGATGTCTGCCCCAGACAATTGATGTGAGAAATGAACTGATCAATGCTGTGTGAAAACTTATATTTATGTTAAAGTAAAGACTTTGTTGTGATAAAAAATAAAATGTTATCTTTTATAACTTTCAGGGCTGTTTTTTTCTCATTTTTTTCATTTTTTGTTTTGTTTACTTTTTGTTGTTTTTGTTTTGTTTTTTTGTTTTTTTGGGGGGAGGGGGTTGTCAGCTCCGCCACTTATGTTGATGTATGTTCTAGTGTAATGTGTGTGTGTGTGTGTGTGTGTGTGTGTGTATGTACAAGTTTGTGTGTATCCATTCCTTTCTGTTTCGACACCGCTGTCTTAGAGTATAAACGCAGTGCCACCATTTTCGATTCCTCTACATCTCTGCACGTACCCCCGGGGCGGTGCTACTGACTGAAGTGTCTTTAGGAATAAACACTGTGCAACCGTTTTCGACTCACTATTATCATTATAATGACTAATATAAATTTTATTATTATTATTGTTACGAATGATGAATAAAGATAAAAACTCGTACTACAGCTTTCTTACAGTAGCAGAGATTAAAGTATGTTCTTGTTGATATTCGTTTGATGTGTCTGCCCTGTGGTTCTGTGGGAATTCTCTGCTCCATTTCTATCAAGGAAATTCAACTTGTCAGACAAAAATGCTAAAATCTTCTCTAAACTCAAGCCAGCTGTGTCTGTGGTGTAAGGGATTAAAGTTAGATGCTTCATCATCATCATTGCCTTTCTCACCCTGGATCAGGATATAGGCCACGAACAAACACTCTCCACCTTTCCCTATCCTGGGCTAGTCGCTTGATGTCGCTCCTCGTCTTCCCACTTTTCTGTACGTGGGTGGTTGGCGGGTGCTCTGGTGTTGTTTGCTGCTTCTTTATCTTTCCCATCAAACATCTATTGTCCTTATCTCCACTCCTTTTTTATGTTTGTTACTCTCTTGTAACACCTCTAATCTTCTGGCACTCATATGACCTAATGCAGTTGCGAGCGCCTTAAAACCTCTACTAAAACAAATACTAAATTTTTTCTGTACATCCATTTTCGTGACTCTTCTCCAGGCTCCATGTTGTCTTCCCCTTGATCTTTTACCCTGTGGGTTCCAATCTAACACTTTTCTTGTTATGCAGCTGCTTGACTTCATGAAAGTGTGTCCAATCCATCGCCAAAGTCTTCTCCCTACCTCATCTCTGACTGGGCTCTGTCTCGTTCTTCTTAATACTCCTACGTTGGTGATCCTATCTGTCCATTTGAACCTCAGTAGCTTCTTCAGACACTTGTTGTGGGTGGTTGGCGGGTGCTCTGGTGTGGTTTGCTTTTTCTTTCCTATCAAACATCTATCGTCCTTGTC